GACCGGCCGTGAATCGCGACGCTAACCATCAATTATCGTGGTACAGTGGCTCTTGCCGCGACGGACCTGACGAAAGAAACTGCATCCTGTCGATAATTCGCCGATTTAACTCCCATCTCTCATATAATCTGGCGCTGTTCTCGTTTGTCCCGGAAATTTTTCGGATCGAGGCCGTCCGGCTCGCGATTTATTGGTAATTTCACCTTAATGATCGAACGAACCGCGCTGTACCTTGCGTAACGTTGATCTTTTTTAGACGTTTTATCGATCGTTTCCTTGAAGAAAAACCCGGCTTCTCGATTAGACAATATCGGACGTAATCAAAGAGGAGGGGAAAAAAGAAAGAGAGAAACGTCGACGGTATTTGGCGACGTTTTTATCCAAGAAATTTACGACAGAAGAATTTCGAATGGATAATTTGTAGGAAATCCTGTAATACGATTTCCTAATGTACAGTTTGATATTACGGCGAGATACACTGAAGCAATAAAATTTGCGGTAATTGGTCGGTTCTACTTGATCTGTGCATAAAACTCAATGAATCGTTATTTTTAGATATATTCCATAACTTAACTTTCCATCCTTTCTTAATAGGAGGAAAAATACAGAAAACGTGAAAAGGCATAGTTCTGCCAGTAAACAAAAAAAAGTTTCACCACCGTCGTAACCGACTCCTTTCGCGCTCACGCCTACTTAATTAAACTCTTGATCGCCACCAGAACGTAGAGCAAACCTGCGGATACACGTTTCGCTAAAAGAGAGAAAAAAGAAGAAGAGACGCAAGCGCGTCGACAGTTTCCTCCTGGTTGCTCGCGTGCGTGCTTTATCCCTGGCGATAATTATCTGCGCCCGCGACGGAAGGAAAAAGAGGAGCTCAGGAGAAACACGTGTCGTGAAAGGGGTCCCGTGCGTGTACCCTCGTTACGTACGGTCGTTACCAGGAGTAACTTTTAAGCCTGATGTTCGCCAGGCTTACCCGGTGCGATCGGGGCCCGCGGTCGACAAAATGCCTCGTTACTTAGTTTACGGACAAACCTTGTTACCAGTTCTCGTTTTAAAAGCACGCCGCTCGCATACATCTCGAATGGCGTGCAATTTGTAAGATACTTTCGCCGCGGCCCGGGGTTTTCCGGGTTCGAACCTTTCCGTTAATTCGACTGAAAAATCAGAGAGGAAGGAAACCTGACCTGTTACACAGAATCAATTAAATTTCTTCTCGGGACTGGAGATCGACTCGAGATGCAATCAAAGAAGAGCTCGATGAGTGACTCGCGGATGAATCGGCGCGATCGAGGCGAACGCAACAGGAAATCGCGGTCTGCTACAGTCGCGGCTCTTGTCTCCGATGTCCGCTTACGTAATTGCTTTTATAAAATTATATGTCCGGCATTATCACACGTCCCGCTTGCACAACGCGCCGAGTTGCACGGCCACGAGTTGCGCAACGAGCGATTTTACAATAGGATCGTTTACGGTAAGCGGCCGTTTCTGGACGATTAAGCGAACAGCCGTGGAAAAAAAAAAAAAAAGAAACGGGGGAAAAAAGAAGAGGAAGTCGAAGCACCAGCACCGAATCGGGCAGTTAGCCAGAGGTCGAAGCACCGAAGATACGCCGAGCACGTGCAACGCTCGCGGAAGCGATTCGCGTGCTCGAGGATCCGGCACGGCTGATTTTTCTTCCAGGTTCGTTCTCACGCTGAACTATCGCGCGCTTCGAAAATGATAGAGCCAACGGACCCGCGCCGATTTCTCGCGAGATTCTCCATTTTATCTTCTTCTTCTTCTTCTTCTTCTTCCTTTTTCGGTCGACCAATTTTCGATCTGTTCGTTTTAGCTCTCGACCAGGTCCAAGGATATTTTTGTGCGTGATGTAGGTAGTGCGAATTAATGGTAGGTGTTCGATGCGGGTCTCGTGCACGTGCTTGGATATTCGCCGGTCATTTTTGTAACCGAACTAATCGCTCGTTTCACTCTTGACACACTTTCTTGGTCAACTGAAATTATTACTGTTGAAAAACGAGGCGAGTCTCGTTCCGGCGGATAGTCGTAAAGATGGTTCAGAAAGATGGTTGGTGGAAAATTTTAAAAAGTCGGGACGCGAGCCGAGTCGTTTAACCCGTTTCTTCGTTTTTTCTTGCTTTTTGTTGACAAAATTACGACGAGCCGGCCGGTTAGTTCAGTCACGAGAAAATCGTGTCGAGTCGACAACGTGATTAGACTCGAGATGCAAATTTTACTTTCGTCCTTCGCTCGGAGCACCTCGTTACGACAAAAACTTTCTTTTCCGCCGGCAGACACGCGCGTTCCTAACCAGAACGGGACAGAAATCCGACGCGAGATGGTCATGTGAACTTCTAGTCGAGAAGTTCCACGAGGAAATGTTTTCGTTTTTATTTCTACCTTCATTGCGTTCCTTTTGCTTGTAAAACCTTCTGTAAAATTCTGTGATCCACCTGGCAGTATGCCAATTCTTTAAGATTGAAACTTCTAATCATTTTAGGATTTTCTGTCTGATCGTATTGACAAGGTATTGACGATCGGATTAATTCAAGAAAGCGACTCGAGGCGTAGCTATTTAACCGTGTTTCGCGCTGTTCTTGTTACATGTGTTCATTTCAAAGTACGTAGTATATTTGGGTCGTAAATCCGGCACGCGATGACGATACACTGACAGACGGAGCATGACAATATCAGCCCACATTCGATCGAAACGAGGAAATTTGACGTAGATATCGTGCCGTGGTAACATCGATCGTCGAAGAAATCATGCTTGCCCGTGACAGGTGATCGGAGATATCGTTGATTTCGTCCAAACGACTGTAGCATGTGCGAGATATTACAGTTGCATCGACGAAAGCAACGAATCACTTTAGCTGGATATTCAGATCCTTCCCTAACTTCTTCTTTGTCTGACGTCTAAGAAATATTGCAACATCTTTTCTCTGCTCTAACAAAGAAATTTTCACATGCCAGATCTGGCAACAGACGTTACACTTTCCTTCCGATTACGATGACTTTCGCACGGAACGCGACTTACGTAATTCCGTCAGACTCTGGACGAGCAAAGAGAACGGGATGATCGGATGGATCACTTTCCACGTGCACGCGTCTTCGCGGAAAGTCACTGAGAAAGGAACGAACTCGAACCGGAACGCTCGTTGAGATTCACGTAACACGCTCCCACGTTGTATCCGGCCTTCATCGAGTCGCATTCGCATTACAATTTCACCGTCATAGGGGCACTTCGTACCCTTCGTACACGCGAGGACGATAAGCGAGAATCGTTCGCCGATCAATCAATCACGATTCAGTGATTAATCAACGCGGATGCGTTGCGGCCAAGGATTTCGCAAGCCAGCCGCCCGAACAATGGATCACTTTTACTCGCGGCACGCTCGGCAAAGAGCACTTTATGATCCGTTCGGGGAATCGCGAATGAGGCTCGACAAACATCAACGCCAATCCCATCGGCAGCCGTTGGAAAATACGGGAATAAATTACGGGAAGAATAAAAGGGAATAACAGGTAACGAGCTGGGTTCGACATTTCGTTCGTGGACGTGGGCAAACGTGGGTTCCGTTTCACTGAATTTGTTGGAACTCGCTGGCGTATAATTGCGCGTCGATTACGCGGAGAAACGCAAATATCGCGGTGAGCCCACATTAAGTATGAACGTAGAAACGGCATCGATGAAGAGAATTTCTATTCTATCGGCCGACGTGCTTTTTTATTCCGCGTGTTCGTGCATAGAGCATCCTCGTTCCGATTCTATCGATGCTCGAAATTCACCGCCACGCGATAATTACGCTTTACGAATGTACGTATATAAATACGCAGATAATTCCTATCAAGTATTGGAGATAGAACAGCTAGCCACGGCCCCTCTGGCTGAACGTAAACATCACATTCTACTCAATTGCCTCGTATTTCAGAGATTATTGCCGGTTGACGACCAGCTTTCGCCACTATCTACGATACGTACGTCGAAATAAATAATTCCGCAGGTCACGCGGCGAAGAATCTAAAAGTCTCGGCGGTAATTGCGCGTAATTTTATATCCCCCTTGGTTGCTTTCTAGCTCTCTCGCCGAGAGAACCAACAAGAAACCGCGATTCGCACGAGATACAGCATGAAATCTGAATTTCGAGGAAATCGCGTGTTTACGAATCGTCCGTTTTTTCTCTGGCCGTCGGCCATGTCTGGTGCCTAGAGAAAGACACCGCCTTTCGCGTAGACAGACAGTAGCGAGTTCGTACGGACGAGCTCATCGAAATTCGAACGAACCTGCCTTCGTGACCAGAACGCGGACTGGAAATTCAAGTGTAACCTTGTGGTTGTGCTCGCCGAGTCGCACGATCAAAGCGAATAGACATGTAACTATTTGCGTTCTTGCCGCATTGCCGTTCTTACCACACATGTGGGTATTTTCCGTGTCGCGGCGTTCTATTTTCGCCGGTTTATTCTCGACATCTGAGCAATAACGCAAATTTCGGGCGTGGTATCTTGGATCAGATTGTAAGCGACTGAAACACAAGCGTGGCGCAAAACTGTATTTGCTTTGCTGGATGATGGATCAGAAATATCCTTCGTAAAAATATCCCACGACAATAAAAAAAAAAAAAAAAAAAAAAAAGAAACGACGATAAGAGAACCGTAGGAATTTAGGTCAATGCGTGTCATTATGTAATCTGGGAATTCCTGAGCATTGCGTCGGCTCTAATCAATAATGTCAATTGTCTCGGTCGTAATAGATTACGGCGCAAATCACACGCTGTGTAGACTTTTCGAATTACCAGCGTTGGTCAAATAATTACGAACCAGACGTTTAAACAACCAGATAACGCGTGACGGAATTCAAGAAATATAAGATTGGCTCTTCTTTTTCTAGAAATACAGATTCCATTCGACGACAAACATTTCCTTTTTCAATCTCTGATCTCCTCCGATTTAATTATGTCATCAATTTGTCCTAATGTAAGCGTGAAATTTCCTGGTTCTAGGAGCCAGTCGAAGGCCTCTTACCTGGCGTATCGTCGAGAACGAGGAGCGCCCGACACCGAGGGCAGTTACAAGAGAACCATGTCACCGACGTCTCGGCTAGAGGACTGGCCACCGCCGCGGGATCACGACGATCCGGTTCTTCTGCGCGTCACGCCTCATCATCCGTTGCAGCACCATCACCATCACAACAATCACCATTCGCAGCAGCCGGAACTTTCCAAGTCTCACAGCGTGGACGCTCTTCATCATCGTTTGGAGGAACGGTCCGCGCAGCAGCAGCAACAGCAACAACAGCAGCAACAACAACAACAACAACAACAGCAGCAGCAGCAGCAACAACACTCGACAGAAGTGATCGGAAAATTGTCGCACGATTTGAACAAGAAACTGCAGGCAAGCGAGGCGAGATCGCGAACCAGCGAGAATAATAATAACGATAACCTAGAGGATCGACATCAGCAGCATCACCACCATCACCACCATCATCATCATCATCAGGAGAAGAGGCACGATTATGAGCAACGTAGGGAACGGCTGTCGCCCCAGAGCGTCGAGGTCCTTAACGACAGGAACCGACAGCTGGAACGCGAACGCAGGAAGCTGGCGGCCAGTTGCGAACCCCTACCTCATAACAGAGAGGTAATATTTCTTTTCGGTCGTTTGGCACGTATTCTCCCGGTAGGTTACTTTCCTCCTCGCTGTAGTAGGTTACTTCAGTGTAGCGGCATCGCAGCGAGTAGTGTTTCCTTGAAATGTTATACTTATTGTTGAAGTCTCACGATGCGAAGGATAGAAAACAAATAAGAAAATAGAGAAGAGCTCTTTGTATTTTTAAATTTCGGGAAATTTGAATTTTCTACAGGCAGTTTAGTAATTATCGTTGAAATATCCGAGTCTAGATGCAAAAACTTTCGCCGCTATTGCGTTTCAACTAATAAATAAGACTAATCGAGTGAATTTCAATTAGAAACAGAGTCGGAGCATGGACGTGTCCTCGTCAGTCGAAGAGGACTTCTTCCGCGAGCGAAGCGCCACCATCGAAATGACCTCGAAGAACATCGAGCTGCTTAATCGGCGTAACGAGAAGAGAACGAACGCCACGTCGACGTCGACCAACGCGATCACTGCCTACATCACCACGTCGTCGGCGTCTACTACAATGGCGATCACGACGGACAGCTGTTGGGCACGAGGTCACGAGGTTCACAGTTCTATCGAGGCATCGCCCGTGTCGGACAGGCCTCCAGCGCCGACCAATTCGCCGCCGAGGACGCCGGATCAGATCGAGAGAGACAGTTCGAAAGGCGCGGTGCGCAGACGATCCGGAAGCTGCTCCAGCTCCTCGTCCGGTAGATCGTCGGACCCTCGAGTTTCGCCGAGGATTCTGTCCAACAGTTTCTCTAAGACCGAGAACTCTTCTCCCAGCAACAGAAAGGTCTCCAGTCCCACTCAAACGGACAACACCGGTTCCTCGAACAGAGGATCCAGCCCGCCCGTTCGTTCGAGCCAAACGAACGAGATTGAGCTGAGAGTGGACAGGACTTCCTCGTCGAGCAAGTCGAGATCCGGCGGCAGGTCCTCGATCTCCTCGATCTCGAGCGCGTCGAAAGCTTCCTCGTCGTCGTCGTCGAGGAATTCCCCGGTCGAGGAAGACAGGCCTTCTCCGCCGGTGTCACCGTGCATGTCGCCTCAGCCGGGAATCGAGGGGCTGACTTTGGTGCAACGTACGGAGGTTGTCCTTCGAGTGAACACTGCCACCAGCGACGCTGCCTCGCAGACCGACATGTTGGATCAAACGGAGCCCGAAACGCCGGCCAAAACTCAGGAAATTCCTCCCTCCAGGAAAAAACTGCCGGAAGAAATCGAATGCGAGGAACTCGGCAAGGACTTGGCGAGCCAGCTGAGTCCGAACGACAAGCTGGTACCTCTCCTAGGTGAGCCGATATCACGTCGATATCTCGACGATCGAACAAAAACGACGTTAAAGAACACCGTTAGTTTACGATCTAACGTCAAATCGTTTAGATTTAACGTCTCGTATCTTGACACGTTCCACACGTTTTCATCAGCGAGAACTTTGATCCCGGATTACTCGCGTTCGATACGATTACACGTTACGTCGAATAAGTAACAAGCAGACACTGACGTTAACGATGGCTTCCCTCAATGGCTTATCGAGCGAATTTACCTCGGCTAATGTCATCGTCAATGTTTCGATTTGCTTGTCTAGACTTTTGTTACTCGTGCGACAATCGCGAACGCGCCGATAAGAGATACACTACAGCCAGCTTGTAGTTAGACGCTTGTAATACCACGCGTCCGTTGATGCGCTGCTGCGTCATCCGCGACGAGGTGGAGCTCCGACTTGCCGGGCCGACGACCTTTTATTTTAATAAGCGTTAAACCAATCGACCAGTCAACCGTGTTATTCAATTACTTGTCGTTGTTTCCTGCTGGATCTTTGTTCCTCGCCATGCACGTAGGACGTGCACGTCACGGCTTCCACGTGGATTCCAGGCGCGCAGAAATCTACCAAACAGAGGAATCAAGCCGTGTAACGATTTGTTCGTATCAGTTCCAGCGCCGGAGCACAAAAAGCCTACCGACTACGTCACCGGTCTGTTCAGGATGGAGGCGACCTTGCAGCCGCGACCTAGGCGCCGACTCTCCCTCGAGGAACCAACGACCCCGTGCTCCGACAGCGGAGACGACGAGAAAAAGTGAGTATTATTATTGTAATTCGAGTAATTGTGGGTTCTTTGGAAACTGGTTATCAAGGAGATTCCCGCGTGTGTTGTACCAAGGAAGGTTACTTCTCTCAAGGATGCTATCCAACGGATAGACTATCTATCGAGAGAAGACTATTCTGATCAAGTTGAAAATGTTAAATCTACATGATACAAAATCCGTGTGTTTATCGTTCTAAATAATAACGATAATAACGATAACTCAGACGATATCGCCGAGTCGTAGAAAGAATCGTACTTGGCCAGAGATGAAAATTCACGAGATCCTTTCAACCCAAGCATTTCGCCTAATAGATTATTACTTGAACGCACGTAGCGAACGACGTTCCACAAGTGTAAAATCCCTGTAATTTCCATGACTCTGAAACTATCATTTGCGTGCTCTCTCGACTGGTCGTGCGCCGTTTCCTCTCATTATCGTTACATAAATGTTAACCGATCGTCCCGGACGATACGCGACGTCGATATTTCATACAGGTTGCTTGCTCCGCGCGTGTGTACCTGCGACTACCACTTTCACCGAACACCTCGACCACGCAGGATTATCAATCGATCCGTGCCTTCGATCGCCGACGTGGTCGCAAGAACGGGCGCGAGTCTTGCGAATTTTCGCGAAATCGGCGATCGATTCGATTCGCGGCGATTTCAGGAACGGTGTCAAGGGTTTCCCTTTTTCACGGTACACTGCGAACGAGAACCTCGACTAAAGAGGTCGTCGTTCACGGTGAAGTCCTTTATTGGTCGACGAGCAACGTTTACGTGGGCGTGACCGCGAGATTCCTAGCCAGGCATCGTTAAACGAGCTCCATTAGCGTCGGGATATAATTGTCGTTCTTCAAATGGACGGCTTACGAGTCGATGACACGGACAAATCGCCTGCAACATTCGTACGATGTACAATTTCCTAATTGCTTACATTTGTCGTTTCTTCTTGCGTTTGCTTGCTTGTTGTACGAGATCGCGGGGGATGGTGACCGTCGTCTCTATTATTGCCTTTGGAATTTTTACATTTCGATCGAGAGAGAAACGAAAGATATCTCTTGACGATCAAGACGTTGGATCACGGAAAAATAGGCCGTGAACGTTTGCACGGTGCCTTTCAAAGTCGTCGCCGATGAGATTTTTCCCTTTCCCTCGCCAAGAAAGGAACCACCCGATCAACCGAGGACAATATTTCCGCCGGCACGCGCCGGGAGAAAGTACCAGAGGCGCAAGACGGTTACGTAACTAGCCATAAATGATATTGTTAGGTTAGCTACTTGGTGGTCTACGCATCATTTCGTTCGCCAGTCTAGCACGGACGAGCGGTGACATCGTTTCGCTCGATCTTAGCTCGCCGGTTGAAGAGATCGGTTGTCGCTGCACTCTCCACATCGCGCGAACGCGTCTGCCATGGAGACCAAAGACACATCGGAGAAGTAACGTCGCAACTCGTGTTCGATTAATTTTGTAATACCTGTTCCTATTGCGTTCTCGACTAATCCACCGGCTTGAGGAAAGCCTCTGAAAGTCATTCATCCCCGGTTAACTTAACTACACGCCCTAGAGTCGTTCCGCCCAACTAACGTTTCCCCGTAGGCTAGGAACTTTACTTTACTTTACGTTTGCTTCGTTAACCGTACGAAGAACTCGAGCAACAGACGAGCAGCTTCCTACCACACCCCGTGGAGCAGAAACGCTTTCGAAAGTGGTCACGGGTGGCTTCTTGGAGCACGGCGCGCAAGATCAGCCGCGTGCTGGTCATACTCGCTGCAGCATCCACTTCCGCTTTTCATTAATTGCCTTCGAGTTCAGCTCGAGCGTAATAGTTGCGGCTAATCAACGCGGTCTTGCTCTTCGAACTGCGCCGCAAACCGTGCTTTCCTTTCTTTATCACTTTCTCCTGTTTTGCAAAATTCAGATTAACCCCCTTGACTGTGCGAATTTTCTAGTATCGCCGTGTATACTCTGTCGAGTAGAGAATCGATTAAACCAGGAAATTTCGGAACGAGAATTGAAAATAATTGAGAATTGAAATTTGTCATTGTCGAATCGTATCGCGAGTGTCGCGCGATATTAGAAAGCAAGGGGTTATAATGGTTAATGAACGCTAGTATCGTCTGCTGTTCTCCACGAACTTGAAAGTCCCTCCAAACACTGACGTGAGTACATCACGAGGTAACACGTGTGACAAGGGATGCGTTTGCATCAGGGCACTAAATCATCATCGTATCGTATGACGTTCCCGGTTCTACGAATCGTGCCGATCGATTCGATCGTGAGTCATACCACGATGGTGCAATCGTCCATGATCACGAGCCGCACTCGAGGATTTTTGCGTCCAGCCGCCCGACCGAATGATTTAGATGAGATGGAAACTACGTTTGTTGCAGGCACGAGACGACGATACCCTCGACCCCGGTCACACCGTTATCGGCAGACTCAACCAGTCCTCTGTCCCCGACGTCGGCCTACTTCACCACGTCCGAGGGCAAAGCGAGGTTCCTCACGAGATACTCGCGCGAAGTGACGATCGAGGGATTGACGCGGCAGGAAGACTCGCCGCCTGTCATTCCCACTGACAGCCTTGATCTCAGACAGAAAAAGGTAAGGAATTTCTTGTGCAAGAGAATACGTCGACAGTCGTTTTTTTATTTCTTGCTAGAATTTAGACGACTAGATCGTTTAAACGGATAGCTTTTCAGTCGGGTGGCTTTTCTGGTGAAAATGATAAATACATAGCTGTCGAGTATGTTTTTATCTGTTTAATAATCTATTTAAACATGAAGAAACAAAGTTCTTTACTCTAATCATTCGTGTTCGTGGTTAATAAGCACGTTCTTAAAATACCTATTGGCTTTTCAATCACGGAAACTTTCCTTGAAATTACCGGCTGCTAGCGTATTCATTTATACCAACGATTCCCGGAACCTTACTCTTCTTTTCCTTTTACGTAATCATCCTACACCTAAACTGAACACCTTCTCCTAAACTGAAACATCTGCTACCATCCCTTGCTTTCCCTTTCGCGCCGAGTCATCAAGACTCGAACTCCTCTGTCGCCTAATGTGCATGCCTCTTCATCGATCAAGCCACACAGTTGTTTAAAAAATTACTTCGACGACGGATCACTTCCGTCGTATTTCGTCGCACACTTGCGAGAAGGAAAAGTCCGTGAAACATGGGCGATTTTCTTCGCAGGAAGAGCTGATGATGAGGCTGGACAAGAAGTTGGTGGTCCTAAGAGCCGAGCAGGAAGCGGTACGCGAGGAGGGAGAGGTGAACGAGGCATTAGGGGCGCGAGTTGCCACGAGAATCTCCGCGGTCGCGAGACCAGCCGAAGCTTCCAAGTATCGTCTCCACGTGGAGGAAGTGGGCAAGATCACGAGTCTTCTTCTTGGCCTGAGCGGCAGGTTGGCTCGAGCTGAGAACGCTCTTTATGGAATGCCGGCTGATCATGCGGAAAGGGTGAGTGATAAATATTCAATTCAATGCGTGAATATTTTTATTAACAGCGGACTGTCGATCTTTGATCCTCAAGTGGATTAGCATTGGTGCAAGTATTTGGGTCACTGTGGTTCCATCTAACTTTACGATAAAAGATAATTTGTACAATCCTGTCTTATTACGTTTCAAATACTTGAGAGGATAATTAATTTTAATTCAGTGTAAATTTTTATTATTAACGGGACTATCAATATTTAATTCTCGAGTAGATCAGTATTGGTACAAATATTTAGAATGTAACGTTAAACGAATAATTCAATAATTCAGATAATCCTCTATCTTATTACATTTCAAACACTTCAGAGGAAAATTAAATCCAATCCGGTATAGATTAAATATAACCGTTAATGTAAAATTGAAAGACTTCTTAAAGGCTAATATTCACTTAAATATTTCACGTATAGTTAATTACAGTTAAAGCAATAAAATAATTAATAAATTTCGATATTACTTGTATATTTTTATCCAGCTTGACGAGAATCAAGAAACGATGGAAAACAATTTAATCACACTCGTGAATATTAATATTCAATTTTATTTCTGGAAATGAACACGTGATTTATTAACCGGGCAAGACGCAAGGACGTTAACGATCGATCGAAGCAAGATATTTCAAACAAACATAGACCGCGCTGAAACGAATATGCGTTTATTGAAAATCTACCGGACGTCCTTGCGTTGTCGTCAACTCGCGGTGTTACGTGTCGCAAGACGATTTATAATTGTTGAACAGGAAGGCCGGGGGAGCGCAGGCGCGATTACTCATGTGACTGACAGAAAGTCGTCTCGATTTATCGGCGAAGTCTTGCGCAATACGTTTCATTACACGATTGAGGATTAATGCCGGTAGGAAACTTTAACGTAAATATAACAAAAATTTATTGGAATGAAACTTTAATCGGTACCAAGATTAGTTTCATTACGTGAATTCCAATTATATAAATTGTTCTCCAATGAGTTCGGTTAAATAGACTTCGTATCGTAGGCCTTCGTATTTATAAAATAATCAAAGATAACGAAGAACGTTCCATTTTGTCGTTTGCAGAAAATTCTGGAGGGCAAGAGGGACAAGTTGCTGGATCAGCTGGAGGAAGCGAAAGTTCTAAAGAGCAACATCGACAAGCGTAGCGTGAACGTATCGACGATCTTGTCGAAGTACCTGAACGAAGAAGAGTTCGCGGATTATCAACACTTCATCAACATGAAGGCGAAACTGATCGTGGACGGCCGTGAGATCCAGGACAAAGTGAAGCTCGGTGAGGAGCAGCTAGCCGCGCTGAGGGAAGCGATCGACTAGTCGTAAAACAAATGCCAGCCCTCAGATCGCGATCTGAGCAGGGACGCGTGATTATGCCTGGTAACGCGTGTTCCCTCGAGCATGATGTGGTTTCTTTTTACGATAAGAAGGGGCACGCGAACAGATCCAGCGGATCTTGCAATCATCGAATTTTGTAAACGATCCTGCAAACGAACGCGTGTGTTCGAATCGATGAATGGAACGTGATATCCCTAGCGTGTAGGTGTATCGGTAGCTTGAAATCGTCCTTTTCCTTTCTCCTTGGAAGCACGCGTATTCGTTGTACATATCCTTCGAATTCTCGCCGGACCAAACGTCGAGAAAACGTCTTTGCAAGAATACCTTTATGCGAAAATCAAGTCGATGATGACACGACGACAAATGATCTAGAAGATTCAGAGACGGCCTCGAGTGGCTAGTCGTTGCGAAACTCTCACATTGACCGTATCGCGTGGCGGAGGTTGAGAATCGAGTGTCGAAATAGGTGCCACGAATACACGTTGCGTTGATAAAGCAACGAACTGAAAGTAAAGATTTGTTTTTTTTTTGTGTGTGTATTTTTTTCTTTTTTCTTTTTACGTAAAATTATGTGATACAAAATTGATCATTAACGATCAAATTTATTCGATCCGAGTGTAATTTCCGGTTAACGTGGTTTTTTTTTGTGTACACGGATATATTGGGAAATTTTAATATATTGCAATTATACGTTATTTCTCGGTGATAGAGTTACAGAGTATGTCAAAGGAAAGAGAAGCTCGAAGAGCGGGTCGCTCTATAACACGTCTAGACATGTTCCGTTCATGGTAAAGCTTGGATGAACGCCACTGAAAGCAAACACAGTGTACAGTTTCCGGACCTTTCCATTGTCTGGTTATATATAACGTCAGCGGCGACCAAGCCACGGAAACATTCTCGACCTAGAATTACTTCTGGTGCCTTCTTATATACGATATGTGATATAAAGGGTAAGGAATCACGTGCTCGTCAGACACATATAACTATATCCGAACAATACAGGCAAACCAAGCGACGTTGTAACGTGTATATAATTATAAAAGATGAAACAACCTAGCGTTTAAGTGATGTTACATTGTAGGAAACGCAAACACACACACACACACACACATACATTCACATATACAGATCAACACAGAGGAAAGTTTACGCAATGACACAGGTGCGCGAACGTGCGCAAAGTATGCATTCACGATCATTCTACATACTATATACATGCTCACGTATACAACGATTACTATTTTTTATGTTTTTGTTCTAACCCCAGAGACTCTCGGGAGCCTCTATGACGCTTGTGATTTTACTTACTTCCGTACGACCGTACCAAGGACTCTCGAAAGCGAACGTGTCAAAAGTGTGAATGATTTCGAGCCTCCATGGTGGTCTTGCGAAAAATTTTATGCCTCGGTCGTTCTCCAGAAGCTATTCGTCGCCCCTCCTCCCGCCTTGCCAACCCCTTTTTTTTTCTTATCCTTCCTTTTAACCTACTCCGTTCTTGCGTACGCTCCTAGCCTTCTTCGTTTCGACGAATCCGAGAACGAAGAAGACGCGGCGGAGAATCCGACGTAAAGGATCCTCCGGTTTTTTGAGCTCGGTAATGAGATATTTACTGTTAGACTCAAAGATCTCGAGATGGAATCTGTCTCCTGTTGCTCGTTCCAACGAAAGATTCGCCGTGTGATTGATCACGTCCGAAGTTGAAGTAAATGAGCATATGCTGAAATATCTGACAATAGTACAGTGAAAATCGAGATTAAGGTCGAATAAAAATCGTCTGTAATACTTTCGGATCATTAAATCTACCAACGACTGTTGTAACTGTTGCCTCAATTTCTAACGATCGAGTATCGCGGAACTCCGCTCGATGGAAAAAAGAACCTAGCGCGGATTAATGTAACGTCGTCGAACAAATTGGAAAAAGATCGTAAATTAGAAAGTGATCAGCAGTCGATCGAATCGTTTCGCGCGGAACGAGAAGGACGAGCAAAAAGCGAAATTGTAAGCGCACGTGAAAGACTGAGCACAGGGCATAAAATTTTGCGACAACATTATAGTCAGTTTCTGTTCCTCGTTTGTTTCTCGATTGCTCGCAAGATATCGCGCTGACACGGCGGTGATATTTGTAATCTATCCGACCGACCGAAAACTAGCCACATTTTGTGCGTTACAGCGTCGCGATTCATCGTGGTGGCTCGCGACTACGACACGGTAAATTGTATATAAGAAATCGAGTTGATTCAAAGATTAAAAAAGAAAAAAAGAGGAAGAAGACGAAGAAGAAGGAAAAAAAGGAAATGAAAAAGAATAAAAGAAGAAAAAAGGAAGACGTTGACGATGAAGACGACGAAGAAGAAACCATGGTGCTTTGCATAATCTATTTTTTACGAGAAAAAACGTTCCATTACTGCGTAGGATATACTTACTTGTACGCTAAGTTCATTGAATATTTAATAGTGTCCCCCCTTTTCATCTTTTGTGTAAATATTCTTTACAAGCATAAACAACATTAGTTTTTAACGTGATGCGAGAAAAAATCGTTTGATGATACAGTTTACACGCTGCATACACACTGATACGCGCGTCACATACACGTAATCGGCGACGCTAGGTCGTTGTGTTAGTCTGACAATATTATCGCATATTTCGAATATATTACGAAATCATTACGATAACTATCTTTCTCAAACTCGCTTGCAATAAATAATACGTTGGAAATTGACGTGAGCCGTTTATTTTATAACACGACCATGCAAACTGTTCCAGTTGTAAGTGTTAAGTTAATGAATCCGCAAGTGAAATTGTTTATTCGATACAGAGTTGCGATTATAAATTTTGAATTCGCGCGAAAATTTTATATCGAAGCACCGACGGTACGTGGCATTATCGACCGAGGATATACATTCAGTCCACTTCCTCTATCGTTGGACCGTTCGAAGAACTGTCCGTTTGTCCCGCGGCGCTATAAAATTTCGTAATGATGGGTTTGCAAATCTGAAAAAGTAAATTTTTACGAGCAAAATTAGAGTAACTACTCGATGAAAATGACAACACGGAGGTTAGTTATCGACAGGCGGTAATCACTTTATAGGAGAAGAAAGGAAAGGAGGAAAACAAATATATCGTCAGCTGGTTAGATAGAAAACTACAAACTACTTGTTAGTACCGTTCGTAGATAATTAAGGACCAACAGACGATAATACTCCAACAAATTCATCGATTTCTCTCAGTTCGCAATTTGAACACGATAGCGTTTTGAATGTATAAGGAGGGAAAGGAAAAAGGAGCACGTTTTCTCGTTCACTCACATGTAACGTATAATATGTAATGAACATTCATTTTTAAAAAAATTATACTTTTTCAGCGTCTCTCAGCTTATGCTCAAACTGCTCCTTAGTGGGAGAGTTATTGGTATCGAGCCACTTGATAACTTCGTTGCACTTGTCGGCTATGCGTTTCCGGTCTCCTTCCGCGATCTTTTCCTTCACTTTCCCGTCCTCGATGGTATTCTTCATGTTGAAGCAATACGACTCGAGGTTGTTCTTCGCTGTGATCCTCTCCTTCTGCGACTCGTCCTCCGCATGGTATCTTTCCGCTTCGTTCACCATTCGTTCTATGTCCTCCTTAGTGAGCCGTCCCTTGTCGTTGGTTATCGTTATCTTGTTCTCCTTGTGCGTCGACTTCTCCACGGCGGACACGTTCAAGATACCATTCGCGTCGACGTCGAAGGTCACCTGAAGAGCAGGCGAATAAAAGAAGGCTAAAATGACGATGGAAAAGAAAGAAAAACGGCACTTTCGCCGTCGTTTTGTTCCGTGCGGTCCAGACTCTATCTCCGTTCCTCCGAGCCGTTCCGCCGCTTCCGCGTTTGCTTTCCGTCCCGATACTTATCCGGACAGCCTGACAATTCCAATAGAGTGCCGTCCGACTGGTGGCAACAGGCAGAAAAGAAATCTCGAGACGCGGGATCGTCTGGAAAGGATCTTTCAACCCTGTCCAGTCGCAACCCTAACTCTCGACCTCTGGATGGGACTCGTGTATATCCTCTTGCCAAGGATTCACTTTACCGATGCAATTGCTGCGTCTCTCCAACCATCGGGTCTGATTCTCTCTGGGATTGTTTTCTTATCTCCGGCCTTGACTCTACGAAACGTTTGTCGTCGACCTTGCTTATCGAACTGACCTGCTCTGTTCTAATGTTCGATACCAGGTGATCACTGATGCACGTGTGTCAATCGCAAATCGTCCGAAGGGAAAGATTCAATAATTCATCGGAAATGAAAAGATCACTAACTTCGATCTGCGGTATGCCTCGATGAGCCGGTGGAATCCCAGTAAGCTCGAATTTTCCCAGGAGGTTGTTGTCCTTGGTCATCGCTCTTTCCCCCTCGTAAACCTGGATCAGAACGCTCGGCTGATTGTCCGAATAGGTAGTGAAAGTTTGCGTCTGCTTGGTCGGGATCGTGGTGTTGCGTTTGATGAGGGCGGTCATCACGCCGCCGGCGGTCTCTATCCCGAGGGACAGCGGAGTCACGTCCAGCAACAGTAGATCCTGTACGGTCTCGGACTTGTCGCCCTGCAATATGGCCGCCTGCACGGCCGCCCCGTACGCCACGGCCTCGTCCGCGTTTATCGATTTGTTAAGGTCCTTTCCGCTGAAAAGATCCTGTTTAGGAAACGGAAAGAGAAGTTCGAATTTGTTCGTTTAAAGAAGTTCCTTTTTTATTTATCGCCGGAACATTTACTTCCATGGAAAATGCTCACCGAAATAAAACAGGTATCCGAAATTGATTGCAATTGGCAATTCCAGTGTTAATAGAAAAAAAATTAAAAACTCGTTAAAGGATTTAATGGTCTGCAAAAATTCGTGCTATTTTTAAGAGTAGAAGAGTCAATACAGGCATCAATAATTAATACGCAAAAGCGTATTTACGTGTTCGATTAGTTTATTTAAAGATTTTCTAATCTGTGAATCCACGTCAAGCTGTGGATCGTTACATTACGTTAATCAGTTCCAACTGGAAGAAGCAATAAACGGCGAGCTCGATCAAATTAGAATTTATCGCGGCGATCACTGTGACCTCCGGCACTCTAATTCGATTACGATTATTGGTGTCCGAACGATAAAAGTCGAAGCCCTTCGCCCCGTCAAACGCTATAAATATATTCGGGCAGGCCGTACGTTTAATGGCACCGGCAACGCGTAGGGTCGAAAAACGCGGGTGTTGACTTTGTCATCGAGCTCATTAATTCTTTAACGTTCGTTCCGGGGGAGCTGCCCCCCTCCTTCCCTTCTCTGTTGTTTGTGATCGTACCCTCGTCCAGAGTTTTCGAACGCGCCGACTTAAAACGTCGGGGTCGCGCCGCTAGGAAACGTAATCGAATTTTAATGCATTTTATTATCGAACCTGCTCTATATCATCCTAACTTCGTTTTAAAGAATCGACACGTTGCTTTTAGAGGCTTTTCTGTCGGACAGTCCCTCGTTTCTTTTTTTTTTGTTTTTTTTTTTTTTTTTTT